GCCTTCTAAAGATTTATGAACATATCACGCCTTCACAGAGGAATGTGTCAACTTGAAAAGCCGCGAGCCAATAAAATAACAGAACCCCTAGAGTTCACAGTATGCAAACTTGAGCTTCGCGGACTTTAATTTTCTTGACCAAAAAAACAATCGACCAATGTAGCCCCGCGAAGGTTTGAAGTAACCTTAAGCTAACCGGCTTAGTTTCGGAGGCAAGTCAATTTCACCTGAAAATGGAAGCCTTAGTTTTCTCGTTTGTTCTTCTTTCTCTTTCTTCTTTTTCACAGACGAAAGAGGAACTGGTTGGAAAATCAGGTATTGTATTCAATGACAAAGTATTTGAGTGAAAAAATCATTTATCACTTTGAATGCACATTCTTTCAGTAAGACCAACATTTGATTTTTCCTCAGATCTTCCCGACCCGTTATCTCAGATGTCCGTCAGCACTGACTGTTAGTGTGCTGAAGAAATTTCTTGTAACGAAGTTCGCCATTCCTCATACCCATCAGGTAAAACACGGTTATGCTCCCTGTTGGTTATTGGATTTGCCTACCGAGCGACCAAGCGACCGACCGAACGACCGAACGAACGAACGAACGAAAGAACGAAGGAAGGAACAAACGAATGAACTACTTCAAGTTGCGAAGTTCGCCATTCGTTCCACGCATCAGATAATGTAATTACTGGGTTTTCTTACTTTGCAAAATGGCAAAAAAAAAAAAAAAAAAAAAAAAAAAAACGCTGCTATATCCTTCCTTGTTAGTAACCAGTCGCTATACGTGTGGTAAAGAAAAGTATTTTTTCGCACAATTGTGGACGAGATCTGGAGTGTTTTTAGGTGAGAGTAAGATATTGCTNAAAAAAAAAAAAAAAAAAAAAACAAGTGTGCACGAACTTGACTTTTGAGATGGCTTCGTGGGGATCTTACGCACCTTACGTGCTATGTGTGTTAATCGTTTTTTATTCGTTTTAGGTTGAAGTCATCCGCTGCGATGAGATATTAGATGGTCACCTGACCATGAGAGATGTGTCGCGGATATATGGACTGTATGCCAAGGTAACAATGCAAGTGTTTAAGGCAGCATTCACTTTACGCCGGAGGAGTTTGAAAACGCAGCTGTGTTTCTACGGCCGGTTAGACCTATCGTCTACACTAATCCGTCACGAAAACGGAGCTTTTCGAAAACGCTCTTCAATGTCTTCAAACCGAAGGAATTCGAAAACGCCGGCTTTTCGTTTTCGTGCGGACGGAAAACATTTTGAAAACGGAGCTTTTCGAAAACGATGGCTTCACGATAATCCTGTGATATCCCTGGCAGAGTTTCCCTCAAACACAAATTCGAAAACATCGGTGATAGTTGCGTTATTAATTCTTCCGGCGTAGTGTCGTCGAAAACATTTGATGCATTCTTAGAGTAGGCCTCTCCACAAATATCCGGATATTTTGGGGGATATTTAGAAGTTTCCGAGATATTTAGAAAATGTTAAGATATTTAGAAAATTTAAGGATATTTGGAAAATTAATAGTGTTTTTTTGGCTTATGATTATGTTATACTATTTAGTAGATTTATGCTAAAACTCCATATAGAAACGAGCACATACTTATCACAAACTGTTGACAGTAATGACGGCGCGAACAAAGGGAATTACATTTTGATGTTTGAAACAGGAGATTAATTTTGCTTTCTATTTCTTCCATGCAGTGTTTTCCACAACTAATAAAAAATACTTTCTCCGTGTTTCGAGTTACAGAAAGTGTATTTTCAATAGATTTATCGACGAACAGCAAATATTTTCTATTCCCATGGCGGGTTTTCTCAGGATCACTTTTTTCTTTTTACAGTCATTTTTAGATTTGGAATATGCATTCCTGGAAGTAAAACCAGAAGAACCAGCGCGACCTCGTAAAACTGAAAACATTGACATTCTTTCACGGAAAAAGATGAAGATCAAGAAAAAGAAAAAGAGAAAGAAGAAAATGAATGAATTATTAGCTACAGAACTATCAACGAACAATGAAACTGTCACGGAATCGAAAAGTGAACTGCCAAGTTTGCCAGAAAGTCACAGTGAACCCGTTTTACAAAATGACATTTTATCTTCATTTCCAGACACTCCCCCGAGTTTTGATCACGTGCCATGCTCGAAAGAGATCGAGTCTCCGGCTTGACGTCACGTGTAGTGCACGTGATCGATTGATGGTGCTTACACGAAGTATGCTTATGTAGATAAAGGTTAATTGACGAGGTCGAAGAGGTCAAATGATAAACGAAAATTTGAACGAGTAGATGAGAGTTGGAAAAAGGGTTTTCCATTTCCTATTGGCTGAAATGTGGCTGTGAAAAAACAAAACTTCTAACGATTCTCACGAGTAAATTTAAATTAGCACAAAGCGCGTGGTTCAACAAGCGTCAATGCGGGTGGATGACAGTTCCGTTCTCTGTCTAATGTAAGCGAAAGCCAAAGTTATTTTACTATCATGAATTCTCGGTCTTGTTTGATCTTGGTTTGAAGTGAAGGAGGGGGCTTAAATAATAGAGAAAAGTTCATTTTCCAACAAACAGTTTTCTCCGTTTGGGTCTTTCATTCACTAGTCTGACGAAGCTAGCTCATCAGGGGCTTGCTTATAGCTTTTGGTTGATGGGACTTCTTTTACGCGTGTGCTTTGTTAAAGCCGCGCGCGAGGAAAATGGTGTAATTCCCTCGCGGCCTCGCGCCTCACCTTCATGGCTCCGCCACAGAAGGAAAGCACACGCGTGAAATCCCGCTAGGTGGAGACGCACACTGGCTGACATCAAGAGAATTTTTTTTTCTCTTGCTGACATGGAGAAGGCAGAGATTCTTCGATGTGTTTGAGGAAAAAAGGCGATTAATATTTCTCAGGCTCGGTTGGCCTTATAAGAACTGCACTTTTTTTTGATCTCAAAAGCAATTCATTTTGCCTGAAAGCATGGAAATTCTAGTGGTGAAATTCTAGTGTGAAATTCATCGCGAAAATATCTCGCACTCCTTTGCAATGTGCCCGATTTGTAATTCAAGCAGGTAACTGCTTGATTGCAAGATAATAGGAAATCTATTAAGGTGGATTCATACAGTATTTCCCTTTTCTTTTGAAGAAATCTAAATGCTACCATCTTGACGTTTGCCAAAGAAAACAAATTGTTTTGACCCGAGAAAATAATACACGCCCTAAGAAAAGTACCGAGAAAATATCTAGAGCTGGGAAACATTGAGAGGATGAAATCTCATATTTTTTTAATAATAATAAAAGAAACAAGAAATAATGATATAGTTCTGCCGTCGCTTCGTTTTTACAACACAAATGATCACGTTCACGTACGTATTGTTGTTAGTTTGAGCTGTTAATTCCCTTAAAAAAAAAAACAACACTATAAACATAAAAAATATACTCCCACCGCAAACCTTAGCCTGCAGACAAGCAGATGAAACCTGGAATTTGTGCTAAAAGTGTCAGCCTGTGTAAGAGAAGGTGATCTACCATTCCCCTGCACTAAAAAAAGATATTTTTCAGCTATGAAATGCCCGTTTTTTGCGAAAGGTTCGGCATGTTGCGGGGACAACATGTTGCATGAAATTCACTTGGTTTAAATTAGTAGTAATGATGCAGGGACAAAATAACCTCAATCTCCAGTATCGCATCGCGTACACTGCTCTGGCAAACTGTTCCCCCTACAACATGGAATCGAAATGAACCAATATCCGCTTCGTGTGCACCATGCCAGTTGTGTTCGGTTCATGGAACATGTCAAACACGCTTTCTACGCGTACACACGAAGTGGCTTGTCCTGGCTTCACATTCCTGCAGTATGTCCCCTAGTATGTGCTGACCTTGATAGTCGTCTGGCGAGAAAACCTAGCTAGAAAACAGAACAACTAAATCTACCTGCTGTGATAGATTTTTTTTCAGAGTTAAATAAATTAGTAAGAGCCTGAATGAAAAAAATAAAGAAAATAATCCTTGCCAGCGATTTGAAGATTGACCGCCTTTTGCACTTCTGAATTGTGCAATAAACATTGTTATACCTCCTAACTCAAATGCCTATTCCGACTGAAATAGGTGTCACGTATTATTGGTCAAAACTTGCACGTGACTCACACTCGCGCCTCTTTCGCACTCGACTCGCACGTGATCAGGTCGTGCGCATTGAAACCGAGGCATTTTTGTGTGTTAGCCGGCGTCAAGTTAACAAATTCATGCGTCTGTCCTGTTATTGATCACGAATTTCGTCATAACATTGTCAAAATAGCTCTGGATTTGACGAAATTCGTGTTTAATAACCGGACAGACACATGGAAAGCTGACATCAATTTGTTTTTTTACAACAAAAAGGCAGAAAGGACAAAATTAAGTGAAAACGCGAGAAATTCAGGTGTCTGTTCGCTTAGTGACAATGAATTTGCCATTGAGCGCGCGAAAATTTCTGCAATTATTGTAAAACAAATTTTTTCGCAGTTTGTTTTACTGTTTATTTAGGGGTATAAGAAAACACTTAGGGTTAGGGTTAGGTGAAACAGGGAGTTTTGTTTCCCCTTAATCATCAATGAGGGTCTCAGGGAAACAAAACTGACTCATTGTTTCCCTTAGGGCCAGTCATTAAATGCTTATTTTTTGACTCAAATACGTTTTCCGATTGGAGAAGAACGTGTCACGTGTCGTGGGTCAAAACCCACTAACTCCCTAGGGCGAACAAAACTCACTTACTCCCTAAGAAAACAACATCTTGAACTTTCGACTCGCACGTGATCTGGTCGTGCTCCTTGAAAACTGCGGCAAATTTGTGAGCCAGCCCGCTTCAAGCAAACGATTTCTTCGATTTTTGTTCAGTTTGACTCTTTGATCCTCAAACCGTTGACACGCTATAAATCTGTAATGTTTCGTTCTGTGCGCTAAATCCTCGTTTTTTAGAACCAGGTGAAAATCAGCACTAAACCGAGGGTGAACAGGACAATAAATTAGCACATCAGAATCTAACTTTCAACCCGAACTAAACCGGACGAATGACCGTACCCCTGATTGGTTCAAAAATCGAGATTCCATTGTTATGTGGTTTAAAGATTGGTTCTGTATATGAGTGCATAGTTTCAGAGATTTCATCACCGAATCGTGCAATAAGTCTGACATGGCTAACCTTTTACTTTTTGCGAGTCGTCAATCATTTCACTTTCAAAACAAAATTCTTCGCCATAATTTTTTTTGTCTCGCGAGTGTGACAAATCACGGCTTTCAAATACCGAACAATGCTTCATTAGGTGAAAGAAAATTTCATTGTGTCGGCGTGTACAGTTTTCCAGCTTTTACTCACGTGCAAGGAATTTTCAAAGAGCACGTGCAGAAGAACGTGCTATGGAGGCAAAATTAGCTCAGAGAAAATCATTATTTCTAAATTTCCGTAGGATTTCTAAATTCCCGTAGTATTTAATGAAATCTCGCTTATACTGCTTTTTTTCCCCTCTGCTGAGGCAATTTCTGGAGAATTCTGCTGTAATAACCCAAATATACTTCACGGTCCGGATATAAGTTTTCTATTATCTGTCGGCATTCGCGTCCTTTATAAATTACTTTTAGAACTGTCGGTGTTCGTAGCAGATTAAACTTAAGACTTACTGCTAGAGCATCGAATAATTTGGTATCTCGAGTGCGGCGATTTTTTTTTCCTTTTCTTCGACGGTTATGTAACATACTGAACAATAGTGTTTAGAATATGCGGCGTTGTTCATCATTGCTTTCAAAGCGTCGTGGAGTGCAAAGTGCTGAAAGTGCCGATCTTCGAGACTAGAACAAACATCTTGACATCGCTTGCTACTGGTTTAACTGCACCTCAGTGGAAATGTCTGGAACTCTCACCAACCACTCAAGCTCCGAACATCCTGCCAAAGACGACTTTCACTTGGTTACTTCAACATGGCCTGCAAGCGCTGTAATTATAACAGCCGTACTCCTGATCATCGTCGACGTAGCAACAATTATAGGAAACGCTTTTGTGATCGGGGCACTGGCAAAGATTAATGCACTGAAAATTATGGCCAACAACCAAGCTGTCATTTCATTAGCCGTGGCAGATCTCTTGGTGGGCTTGCTGGTTATGCCATGCGCCATTGACAGTGTTGTAGCAGGAAAATGGCGGTGTGGACATCTTTGGGGAAAGGTGAACGCTTTTGGAAACTTTTCCTTCTGTATTTCGTCCATAACGCATCTAGCTTTATTATCCGTTGACCGCTACATCGCAATATCTTGTCCGCTATATATGATAGTTACCAAGAAAAGAGTTCGAGCAATTTGCCTAATTTTGTGGATATACTCCACTGCATGGGCCCTGCCGCCGTTGTTTGGCGTCACTTCGTACAAGTGCTTTATTCCTTACCTCGGAAAATGTCTCGAGGAAGACTGGCTGTGCTGCGAAGGCGCCGTGTTGTTCACTGCCTCAGTTGTGTCCGGCACATACGGAGTGGCAGTTTTAGTGATGTTCTTCGCCTACGCCAGGATTTACGTCGAGATTTCTAAACAGGCCAAAAGATTGTCTTTCATAGTGAAACAACTGAGAGCGAATAGCAACTCAGGAGTGATTATAAGAACACACGCTTCAGCTAAAAAGGGAGCTCTAACAGCACTCATTGTTATTGGGTCGTACTTTGCTTGCTGGTCGCCATTTTGTCTTCTTTTGTTTGCGCAAATGGCCCATGGCAAAACCACAGGTGGACCAACTGCAGATATAATAACCATGTTCATTGGCCTCGCCAACAGTGCCAGTAATCCAATCATATACAGCATTAGATACAGGGTGTTTCGAGAAACTGTAAAACGAATGTTTGTCAGGAAAAGATATCGTATCCAGAGTTCCTTCAGCAAGTAAAAAGATGACATTGGTGTAAATATCCTTTTTTTCTTTTTCAAGTCCTATTTCTTTGCAGCACTATAAACATTTTCAATTATCTTATTACTGTTTGCACGAAACAGCCTACCGGTTATTTTATTCTGTCTTATTTTTTTGGCACGTGCATGTTGGTTATTAGATAGAGAGGTTGAATAGTAAGACAGTGACACAACTCAGAACAGGCGTGATTGGTGTTCGATCAGTTAAGTTCGATTGATCCCGATTGAGTTCGATTTGGTTCGATTAGTAACGTCGGGCAAAACTCAAGTTTTCGAAATCCCAGGAAGGTCTGGAAATAAAGCACCGCCCTGCGACGAGAACCCGAGCGGCTTTCGACACGTTTGCATTCTCCACGAGAACATCCACGCAACGCGCGTGGTACCATTATCCGCTAAAGGACTGGGTTCTATATATCTAAAAATAACTTGATTACGTTGGAAGTGCGGCCGGAAGAGAGGATGAACTCTCTTACCTTTTATGATATATTATACTCTCATGTTATTATCTAATAACTCCTCTGTACAGCCACGACATACGGCCAGCTCATCATGACTACTGGCAGATTAGTCACATGAGAAAATGGTTATATTAACTTAACATAAGCTCACATAAATCTCAATGGTTAAGAACAATGCTTTCTTTTTTTGTTTATAAATATATAAATAGATAATTTTTCATGAGATACGGTACGTCCCCAGTTCCACTTTCCCGTGTCTTTGCCACCTCACATGTACAGCTCACGTTGTTTTTACAACACTCGCTCTAAGATCACGCGATCTGTTCTCGAAGGTTTTATGAGCACGAATTTAGAGTTGGCGACAGACTTCTGAGTATGCAAATGTGGGAAAAATCGACTTCTGAACTTCTCAATATGTAATGTTCATGAGGTTGTCCTGACAAGTGAACAATCGGATAGAGGATAATGGGACCGTATTCTTTCATGTTACCGCATCGGAGAGACAATCTCACTCGTTATGTAGCTTTCTTGATGCGCTTGTGAACACCTTTGTTTAGGAATTGGAACACGTCTCGCCTTTTCCCACCTCTTAAGAACACATAGCAGCCAATCTGTTGTTTCACAAAAGCTCCTGTTCGCAGGGATCCAGTTCAAAACTTGGAGGAGTCTCTGGAAATGTTAGAGAAATATCACAGTTTTGAAAGTGCTGTTCGCCGGTTGACGCCACACACTCCGGCAGCTCGGCTAGTTTTTGTTTCTCTTCCATACCAGATGGTTCAGTTTTTATCACCGTATAACTGTCTTTTCCTTTCGTTTCGCTTTGTTCTTTTTCACACGTTTTAAATTTTTTTCGTGGTTCTTCCTTCACACTCTCTGAGCTTCGTTTTGTATCTTCGCGGCACGCGTCCAAGAAAGAGTACTGCATATCTAGAAAGGACTGCAACAGAGTTGGAAATTATTTCAGTTAACTACCAGGAAAAAGAAAAATGGAGGTTGTGGAGCAGTTTTAGTTGAGTGTCATTAACTAACCTAAAGCAATCGCACTGACCAATCACAGCAAACATAAAGGACGCAACGAACCAATGAGCGCACGAAGCAAATGCAAGCAACCAGCGTCAAGCGCGGGAAGAGGCACGTGGAAAAAGCGAGCTTGGGTTTGATCTTGTAACTGATGGGTTGAGTGGGAAGGGCGAGTTTTTAACCAAACACAGAGCTTCGTACAGCAGAGCTAAACCAATTACGGATTACTCTCAATAAAATCCGCTCTCTTTTAATATATATGCAAAAACAGGTTGAACCAATCTTACTTTCGAGTACAGTCCGTATATCTGTGAGACTTCTTTCATCGTAAGTGAGTCGTCGAGGAGTTCGTCAGAGCGTACGAGTTCGGCCTGAAAAAATTTCCAAAAATTGATTCATGTTATAAACAAAATACAACACAGCTGAAAAGTGTTTATTTCAATTTGAACTAGAATATCTTCTACTGGCAACAAATAAATACTGGGACCTACGAAATGAAAACAAAAAATCACAGTACTGAAGAGCTTATTAGTCATTCAACTGGCAAATTTCCTCCAAAAATACAGTTTTTCACCGTTAACTCAGTTGTTTTGGCTGCCACGACCCTGAATTGGCCTCCACCAAATTTCTTACCGAGGAGCAAGATATCCCTGAGGATTGGGTATCAAAATCTACAATGTTTTACTTTGGAGCTACGTCAGAATGCGGTTGATATCCAAAACGGTGCTTCGAATGCCATGACTCAACAGGCCGTTCTTCGCAAACTTGACAAGTTTATTTTAAGATCACAAGGTTCGCTTTCCTCTCTCGCTCTGACTGTGTATTTGTACTAAAAAGACTCAACACACGGCACTCCTTAAAACTTAGCGAAACCTAATTTGATTGGCTTACAACCTTTTCTCTAAATAGTTTCTTTGATCACGGAATATTACCTGACACGCAAGCTTACATGTTTTGCCGATAACATGAAACGCGTTTACAACCTGGTGCTAATTAACTGGTAATCATCGACTGAACTAATTGAGACTGTCAGACACGTGCTTCCGATTTCTATTATTCCTAGATTCCCTGAATCACGCAACTTAAAAATAGGATAAACTGTCACACAATTAAATTGGAACTTTCATGACAACGGACAGCGGTGCGGATGGATCTATCCTTGGTCTATTATCTGCTAATCAAGAATATCTATTGACGCCTGAATTGATGACGTCACAAGTGGCACAAAGTGCATGACCCCGCATAGTACGAAAACGTACGATTGGTCCTTAAAGTGTTAATCATTAGATATCAATCGGTCTTCTGTTCGTTTGCTCGTCCTTCGTTCGCTCGTTGTTCAGTTGGTCGTTCGGTCGGTCGGTCGGTCGGTTCGTCTAGGTCTGTCTGCAAATCGGTTAACCAGTAAGGACGGAATAATTAGCCGTGTTTTACCTGATGTGTATTAGGAATGGCAAACTTCATGACAAGGAATTTCTTCAACACATTGACAGTCACTGCAGACGGACATCTGAGATAACGGGTCGGGAAGATCTGAACAGAAAAAGAGTGTGACATTGATCCAGTCTTTTCGGCTATGCCATCTCAAAACAATTTATTAACCCGAGAGGATCCCTAGGGAAAGAAGTGTATTTACAAAAAATGGAGAAACGGTAGCCTCGATTTCCGAATACGTTTTGTTTTTTGAGAAACACTTTTAATACAGTCGAACCTCTCCGCAACGGACACCTTGGGAACAGAGAAAAGTGGCCGCTGTAGAGAGATGGTCGTTATGGGGAGGCAGGGTACAACATGAAGCTGCTTTTTTTTACAGGGCTGCAACATTTTTATCGTCACAAAATGCTTATTGTAGCATGTATATGCAGACGTAACACCTCCAAAATATGTCAATAAGACAGAAACCAAACAAAAACAGGGAGACCAACGACGCGCGGTATGGATCAAGTTTCGTGACCTTTTACAGCAAAAAATGTGGTTTAGCATACACTCAGGCTGTTCATCAGTCGTTGATTTACTGGCCGCTGTTGAGAAGCAATTTGGCAGTTACCGTTGTGGAGAGGTGGCCGTTGTAGAGGGATTGAAATGAGGGTGAAAGTATCGACCATCCGCCGGGACCAAAAAAGGTGGCCGTTATAGAGACGTGGCCGAAATGGAGGTTCGACTGTGGTTCTAGCTAAGTCACTTTTTCACAAAAAAGTCACCTCAGTTACATTTTCAAATGAACTGGTTTGGCAAACCAACCTTAGCATTAAGAATACAAACCTGGCGTTCATTCCAGTTTCTTTTCCTCCTAAAATCATACAATGAAACAGTAAGTTATAACACAGGAATACACCAGCTGAAGTGCGTTTTGTTAACCAACACCTCTTGTTAGTCGTGACCAGGGAGAAAGGGGAACTCCCACACCCCACGTTCCGAGAGACATTTTGAATATTTCTGCTCCCCCCTGGATCGGGACACTAGCTTCATCGCAGAGTCATACCAGAGCATTAAACTAGCCGGTACACATTTATACACCTGGGTGGAGAGAGGGACTGTGGGAGTGAAGTGTCTTGTGCCCAAGAACACAACACAATGTCCACGGCCAGGGCTCAAACCTGGACCACTTGATCAGGAGCCCAGCGCACTAACCATGAAGCCAAGGCGTCTCAGTCATACAAATTCTTACATACCACACAGATGTCCTCCTGATATGTCAGTTTACTCGGCAAAATCAATAAAATAGTGTCTGAGGAAATGCCGGCTTCAGTTTTACCAGCGTAGACAAAAGGCGAATGGAACTGAAATAAGACAGATTGTGCTGACCTGTAATATTCCAACGTGATAAATATTGGATCTTCCATCTCCACCTCGGCGCTGTCTCTCTTTTGTGTCTCAGCCTTCACTGTTTCAGTTTCATCTGTGAGATTCAAAGCGTGAACAATGTCAAACAATTTCGGTATTTTTGGCGTCTTAACCAAAGAGAACGATTTTTCTTACACGATACGTTCTACAATGTACATGGTTTTACAACTTCCGTGTTGCATGGGCAGTCGGTCGATAACTGACTTATTAACCACTCAGTTAAATTCGGGCTTAGACGTACTTTTGAATTTCAGTTACGAACTCCAAAACATTCTTACCTATGTTTGTAGGGTTTTCTTTTTCTGACGTTTCTTCGAATTCCTTTCGGCGACTGAGTTCGTCTGAAATTGAACAAAGCAGACACTTGTAAATATAGTTACTCTGCCGGCGAGACAGAGGTTCACTTCGCTTTCAAAAGGAAATTTCTGCCCCGCAGGGTATTATATTTAATATGATCATTCACTGGGAATCAATCCGCGTTACGTGTCTTTGTTTAGTTGATCAATACCGAGTAAAGACAAAACGTGTATTTTTGATCGCCACGAAATAATATTATCATTTTTTTTTTCACTGTGTTAAACTCGTATGATATTGTACGTCAACTTCACATCTCATTTGCTAAAAGCAAGTCAAACTGTAGACTGTAGACTAGGCCGGCACATCCACGGAGTGTCAGTACGAGCACTGTTTCCACTCTTTCTTGTCTTCTCCGATGTCTGTCTTCTCACTGGGACAGTTATTGCAGTTTTTTTTCTTGTTATATAACTTACCGTATACTAAACCTGGAACAAGTTTGTTGACGATATCTTGAAGAGGCCGGTCAGGTCTGCAAGGGCGTGTTGAGAGAGAAAAGGGGAATTTTGTATTATGAATCACAAATTGAGAGCAAGTTTAGTCGCACCGTAGATATTCAACTGGTAAATAGACTCAGGCCCCGTCCACACTATACGCCGAAGGAATTTACAAACGCAACAACCACCGGCCATTTTGGATTTGTGTTTGAGGAAAACTCTGTCAGGGAAGTCACGCAATTATCGTGACGTCATCATTTCGAAAAGCTCCGTTTTTGAAATGTTCTTCCTCCACACGAAAACGAAAAGCCGCCGTTTTCAGATTTCTCCGGTTTGAAGAGTGCTTTCGAAAAGTGTTCTCGAGAAGCTCCGTTTTCGTGACGGATTAGTGTGGACGGTAGGTCTAACCGTAGAAATAAAGACGCGAGCTTGGGTACAGTAAGGTGTACAACAGAAGGCTTACTAACGGGAGAAGTTATTTAGGCTTAAATTATGTGGGAAAGTAAATTTCCAGCATGAAATTTATGTGTTAGATTTGGGGGTCTCTCTCAGGGTTGAAGAAGTTTATCATATTTGGAAGTATATTTGGCAGTAAGATATTTACGATTGAGATTTTGGGGCCTCTCGGAGGTGTTGAGGAAGTTTGTTACTGGAAATTGACGACTTTATGTAACTCGTTGTTATTGTTACAAGTATTTCGCGAGAAAACGACCGATAACAAAATTTATTATCCAACTGCAGCGAATACCGTCCAAATAACAGTACAAATATACAGTGATATTGTACAGTAGAAAACCTGTTTGCCGTATTTGTACCGTAGAAAACCTATTTGCAGTACAGGTCGGCGCGCGCACGCGAAACTGTCACACTCTCCCTCTTTCAATGATAAATTTATTGACTACAGCAGTTAGATAATAAATCTCTTATTAGATGTTTTTGGTGTGTAGTATCGCTGTATATTTTCACTCGTTGTTTGTATTTTGACGAGCCCGTACGGCACAACTCGTAAAAATATACAGCGATATACTACACACAAAAACATCTAATAAGATATATATATTCACAATTGTTTCAACAATATTTGAATAGACATATGAGCAGTTTCTTTCAAATTTGCATACATTTCTAGTAGTGTTGTATGAAAGAGGAACAAAAGCGACTCTTAAATGAGGAGTTATTTCTTTAGAACACTCACCTAATATGCAGCAGGGGTTTAGTCTTGTGTACTTCAACATCACAAACAGGGCAGTGATAAGATGTTTGAAGATACTTCACAATACAGCTACGACAAACTAAATCGAAAAAGAGAACATGCGATTACGCGCCATTATAAGTGTAAGCAATTGTAAACAAAGTTGCTCCGGCTTTCAAAGATTAAAGAATCCATTTGATCTGTTGAGAGACTTAGACAAGGGAAAAATTACATAACGCTTGATTCTCCGAATCAAAAACTATTTACAACAAATCAAAAACCACCGGAAAGTTTGAGAAATTACGCAACTGTAAATCGCACACAGTCATGTTACCGAAGGATCTGTATTCAGGTTCTACCAATAACCATTTTAAATCCAGTCTGAGTAAGTACAGTGAACAGATATCCAACAGTTGGAATTATATATATCTAACAATGATAATCATAATACCTTATTTATGTCTTTAACGCCGAACTCTGTTTTATCAGCCATTAAAACGGCTTGAATTGCTTGCGGTGAAAACTTACTTTCAAGATAACTTTACGAGAAGCGAAGTCATTGTCTGTTTACACGTTAAACGATTCCTCTTCGTTAATTTCGCTGGCCCGAGACAAGGTGAAGCCAGTTCGAAACCAGTTCGAGAACACAATAAGTCGTCAACGCACAAGCGATTTGAAGTCCATATGCTGTAAATAAAAGTACAACTTCTACTTACAAGAATGTAGGCATTCGATAATCGTCGTAGCGTCTACAAGGTACCCAGCACATAATGCACACATAATGTGAGGATTCAACTCCTCAAGAGGCATCCGGAGAAGTGACATGTTAGCGAGAGCAACGCTGAGTTGCGCGCTCGGCTCCAACGAGGAAATTGACGACTTCCGGGGTTGCTCTCTCTCACGCTATGCTTGAAGCGGAAAGCTGAAAACGGATGCAAATTGTCAGCGAGGACAGTTTTCAAACGTCTTGGAAATTATGCAAATAGTGGATTGGTTTGACTAGCCGATAATGCTATCCGATGAACTTGAAATTTTACTTGCAAAACGCGTTTTCTAGATATCGATTCCACATTACTCTCAGTCACGGATTAAAATTTCTGCGAATGGTTGCAATTTTCCACTTTGCATGAATTCTAATATTTTATTGTCAGAGAACAATTTTAATGATAACTTTTTTTATCTGAGACAAGAAACATCGTCTGGCCTAGGGGAACAAAATCTCGTGAATTCCAACTTAACGCATAGATATAAACATTCACTTTCTACTTTCATGAAACGGTGTCGCTAGTTCAAAAGGTTTCTTTTGTTTTGTTGAAATGTTCGATGCTCTGATATGGTCAGTTCTGCTTACGATTTTGAGCAAGCGTAAAGAACCCGACTGCGAGTGAGTATCACCCAAGCCGATTGGCGAAAATAACCAAAATGAGAAAAAGAGGCAAATGATCTAAGCGTTGAAAAGTACCAGATGTAAGTCCGCTAACATTAGAGGTATTTGACAAGTGAAAGCACTGCTGTACTGCTTAAATCCTACAGTGACACTCGCGAAAGCAGTCAGATTAAAAATTGAATCAAAACTGCCTAAGGAAGAAATTAAGGGTCTTTATGAAGACTTGTCCATTTCTTTCCTGGTTTCACCGTCTTTACGGCTCTGGGTATCAAAGAAGGGGTTCCCCAGCGGACAGTTTGGCCCAGTACGTTGTGGTGTTATCTAGACAACTACGTACATTTACTTACTTTTTCCTTTATAAGCTTCAGGTTTAATTTTTATTCGTGGACGACAAATCTAGAAACGCGTGGGCAACGAATATACTAAACATTACCGCAAGCTGTTGTCACACAGACTGTTTGGTTCGATGCTTTGATTCAATCCTTTTCGGACTTTGCACGGCATATGTGAAAAAATAAATTTCCTTTTCTATCTTGACCTCACAAATTTACAAGGACAACATCGGCATTTATTAAACGAAATATTAAAGCAACGTTGGAATTACGACTTGTTTATGTTTGTTGCGCTTGGCGAGATTTTGACAATCCATTGTAACCCGCTGTATAACTCAAAATTACGGCTTGAGGAAACTTTTTGGTATAATACTGAAATAACGATTTTTGACCTTCCTACGGCCAGTAAAAACGTACTCTGAACAAATTGCGATAACAGCTGAAGAATTTTCTAGAGTTACGAAGCAAAGATTTCATTCCTTTCTTCGATAAATACGATATCGGTATTTTACTTAATATATTATAATTTGATGTCCAATTCTTTAGAGATCATGTTTAATTTTGGCACGAGGCGAACCTTCCGTGATTTAAGACTTGAATTTTCTGTTACAACAAGTTATATTCTATTGAACAGTTTGAAGAAAGAGGAAATGTGTAACCCCGTTTGGAAAGATGAATTCGAAAAATGTACTGATAAGTCCAAATACTTGTTATGTAAGTCATGTAGAAATGTTGTGTAACGAAAATTTTGAAATCGGCCGAACGCACACGGCACCGGTTGTTTAATTGTTTCACAAGATCTGTTGACTCTATTTTCACAGAAAATTGATCAGAAAATCAGAAAACCCAGAGAAGATCTGTAAGGTTACCTGAGCCAGACAAACATGTAACACGTCTGCTATGTAAATTTATCACAATAAAACTCTCGGGCGATATGCTTAAATGGTCACGTTTGGCAGTTAATAAGCCTCTGAAAATATGTACGATGTTATCCTAATTCCGCGGAAAATTCAAACGAAACGCTACGACGAAATTCGCCGCAAACTCAGAGCCATCGTTTGTCTGTGACAAAACAAGTTTGTTATCTAACGAATAGCAACAAATCAACGCTAAATAAATCTACGATACGGGCGAATTACCTCATATTCCAGATGACATTCACTCTCTGAAACACATCGTCCGAAGAGATTTTCACGTTGTCTATTATTCAATGTACGGATCACGTGACTCCAGCCCCAGTTTCCCTCGAGGCCAAAACAAAGGAAAATGACCGCTTAAATATAATGTTTGCTGAAGTTACCTGGCACAAAATTAAAACCCTAAACCAACAACAACAACAACAACAAAAATAAATTAATAGGTTCTAGGGAAAGGATATTAATTGCGTTCCTTTCAAACTCAAATGCCACTCTGCTTTTAGCCTGCGATCACACGATTCTTTCTCGGCGAACTGTTTTTTCCCTCCAACCGTTCGCCGAAACTTCTGATCGCAGTTTACTCTGTTTCATGATAACGTGCCCGTAAATTAATTTACAGGAAACAAATATATTTTTTGGCTTCAAATGAGATAGTGATTTATCGATCGGATCATCAGCGTTCATTTGGAACTTTAGAAATGTTTTTCTGCGTGTTTGTTTAATCAAAAGTACATCGCTCAGAGAAGAAGGGAATGTGAATGCACTAGGCCAATATCCAGCCATCTTGACCGAACAAGCTTGGTCAATAAAGTATTTATTCAGTACGGAAAAAAGAGCACTATTTTAATGCGAGACACAGCGAGTAGTCCCGAGCGGGCAAGATGGCGCCTCTTGGGCAGCCAATCTCACTGCAGGATTCGGTTCATCCTGCCCGCTCACGGAGCTAGCCATGTAATAAATGTATGTAATACGACGGAGAAAACATGAAGAAAGAACCGGGGGGNGGGCTTAAGATTGGTTTTCAATTGCGACGCAAGCACAAGCGCAAGCAAAAACGCAAGTAATAGGGATGACCCGAGTGGAAACGAAATTGGACGCAGACACAAGCACAAGCAAAATCATCCGAACCGCCATTTTGGAAAACTGTTTAGGCGCGAGGTATTCTGGATCCAGTGTTTTCATTGACCAAACATAACCACGCGTGGTAAATATCCTTTGGCTTGTGTTATGCCTGAGCGCTATTTCGTTTTCACTTGTTGCAGCGCAAACGCAAGCATAAGCGCCAGCACAAGAAAGAGGAAACATTTTGAACCCTGTGCTTGCGCTTGTGCTTATCCCTGCGTCAAGGTCGTTTTCACGGTGAAATATGAATTATTGTGCCTCAGTTTGTCCTTGTGTTGCGCTTGTGCTTGCGTCGCTAGTGAAAACCAGGCTATAGGGCCTGATTACATGGCGAATTTAAGCCCGGGCTGAAATTTCAGCCCGGCTTCTGAAACAAATTCTCATGAAATCAAATTGGCGATTACATGGAAAAGGATTCAGCCCAGGCCGCAATTCAGCCCAGGCAAACGGGCGAAAAAGTCTGAAAAAATCCCATGTAATCGAAACGGAATTTTAGCCCGGTCTGAAAAGCAGGAAGTAAGATGGCTGCCGCTACTAAATAGAAGCGATCTCAGTGGAACAAAGGCGATAAAATAGAGAATCTCTCTAATTTTAAAGCTTAGATGGAATATAAAAACATCGAGACAAGGTTAAACAGCACGAGGCTGTCAAGGAAGCCATGAACTCGGCAAGCTTGATGAGGACATATTTTCTTTTTATGCAAATACGTCTTTCTGGCTAAGAGACAGGTTTCGTTTCAGTTCCATCATCATTGTAGGGTGTTACTATCCCAAAAGTTAAAAATTGAGCGCCAACAAAAGGTCAAACTAGGAGAGAAGCAATGCGCCTATTTTCACGATTCGTGTTCTCGGCGCCATTTTGATTTTCTGGAGACTTTTCGCACACAATTTCATACTTGGCGCCAAGGCTAATATTTCAGCCTGGGCTGAAATTCGTTATGTAATCACAACAAAATATCAGCTCCCCTAGCCGGGCTGAAATTTCAGCCCGGGCTGAAATTCGCCATGTAATCAGGCCCTTAGTGACAGACCGGAAACTTTGATGTATAAATTCACCAATACTGTTGTTCCCGGCATTCTCTCTTTCCACTCAGTAATGCTGTTTATCGTAATTTGCAGACGGAACACGCGGTAGGTTGCGTCTGTGATCTAGGCTATTAATTGTGAGCAAATACGTGAAACTAAAACAGTCCAAAACAGAGCGCCTCAGTCGTAGCCTCATCACCTGTTAATCCCTGAAAAATGTTTTTTTTCCGCGTCACTGGACTGACCCAGCTAGATTTTGTTTCAATGAGTTAGCATGTTCATATGTAACCGCAAGTGACTCTGACCTGCCTAAATCAGTCTCAAACGCGAGAGAAATTTGAAAACGCACCAGTCATCCATCATTTTGAATTTGTGTTTTAGGAAAACTAGGTCAGGAAAATCATTATCCCGACCTCGTCATTTTTGAAAAGCTCCCTTTTCAAAATGTTTCCCATCCGCAATAAAACGCAAAGCCGGCGTTTTCAAACTCCTCCGGTTTGAAGAGCGTTTTCGAAAAGCTCCGTTAGCGTGACGGATTGGTGTGGACGGTAGGCCTAGCCATAGAAATAAAGCTGCGTTTTTCAGTTTCTCAGGCGTAGTCAGTGTGGACGTAAAACATTTAATGCGTTTCCAGAGTGAAACCTCCGATTTCAAATTCCTCCAACGAAAAGTGGACAGGGCCTTGTATGTCAGCCCGTTTTAATCCAGAGCTCTACTCAGCATGGAATTCCGCCGTTGGTAAACACAAAAATCTTCCCCTTAAAATCCATTTCGTTTCGGGTTTCTGCAAAAATTTCTTTTGGAAAATTAAATAAATTACACAATATCAAGGTGGGCTTTGTAGAGCGGTTTTCATTTGATTGTCGAATCAACAAACTGACATCAGTTTTTCATGCGTCTGTCCTGTTATTGATCATGAATTTCGTCATAACATTGCCAAAGTAGTGCAACTGACGCATCGCATAAATTATAAATTCATGTGTCTGTCCGGTTATTGACAATGAAAGTTAGCCAATGAGCCCGTGAGGATTTCGGCAGTTATCGTAAAGAAAGTAATTGGTTTTGCGCTAATACGCTACACGATTGGCTTAAAAATTCGCGCCGCTTTTTGATCCAATCAGAAGTAAAACCAAAACCAATCGTGACTCGTTCGCACTGGTTTTCCCGCGCTTTTCGTGAGCTACATGTAGTCACTTCGAGATTTGACTGGCTCATTGGATTGTCTGTGTCCTTTGTGATTGGCTAGAGCGATAACTTTGGTTTTGGTTTTACGGCACTCAATTGAAAACCTCTCTATCAAAGGAAATCTACAAAAACAAAACAATATAAAAAGATAAAAACGAAACTGACATCCAGACCTTTATTACAAATCACGAAGGTCAAGTAGCAAACGTTATATTAATAATATAGCACATAAAGTAGTTAAGACGTATAAATTTCCTATGCGAGGTCTGACACGTTGAAAGATTCCAAAGGTTACACACTTGTTTTAATAACGCTAACACGAACGAGAGTCTGTAAGAAATGACGAATGAAGAAATAATCTTCCACCCTAAATTCTAACTAAAAGAGGTACAACCTTCAACCTTAAAGCTGGGTTGTTCTTTTCTTTCTTATTGNCTGTTATTGATCATGAATTTCGTCATAACATTGCCAAAGTAGTGCAACTGACGCATCGCATAAATTATAAATTCATGTGTCTGTCCGGTTATTGACAATGAAAGTTAGCCAATGAGCCCGCGAGGATTTCTGCAGTTATCGTGAAGAAAGTAATTGGTTTTGCGCTACGCTACACGATTGGCTTAAAAATTCGCGCCGCTTTTTGATCCAATCAGAAGTAAAACCAAAACCAATCCTGACTCGTTCGCATTCGCTTTCCCGCGCTTTGCGTGAGCTACATGTAGTCACTTCGAGATTTGACTGGCTCATTGGATTGTCTGTGTCCTTTGTGATTGGCTAGAGCGATAACTTTGGTTTTGGTTTTACGACACTCAATTGAAAACCTCTCTATCAAAGGAAATCTACAAAAACAAAACAACATAAAATGATAAAAAAGAAACTGACATCCAGACCTTTATTGCAAATCACGACGGTCAAGTAGCAAACATTGTATTAACATGGCACATACAGTAGTTAAGACGTACAAATTTCCTATGCGAGGTCTGACACGTTGAAAGAATCCAAAGGTTACACACTTGTTTTAGTAACGCTAACACGAACGAGAGTCTGTAAGAAATGACGAATGAAGAAATCATCTTCTACCCTAAATTCTAACTAAAAGAGGTACAACCTTCAACCTTAAAGCTGGGTTGTTCTTTTCTTTCTTATTGACTGTCAGAGAGCTTACTATTTCAGATCCGATTTCGTAAGCCTAAAGGCAACTGGTTTAAACGGGTATTCAACGTAAAAGTTAAGACTAGTTGACATTTTTTTTTCTGACAAGAAATTGAAAAGCAATTGATCTCTACTGCTGTTGTGATGTAAGCTCATTTCGCTGCTAATTTCACGGACAAATTTCCGCGCTTTCCGCGGTCTGCACTGAAACAAGACAACTGACTAGTACAACTGAAGTCACACACCAAGAGCAGAAAAAAGTTGCGTATGATTTAATCAAATGCCTCTAAGATCTAAAACATAGCAAGCACTCTGACGATATGAAGAGTTCGATAAATTAATTATCTCGTCGAGTGATCACCATTGCCAGAGTAATTCACCAAAAACTCGCATTGGGTAAAAGCGAATCGGCATCATATCAACAAATCAGTTTTGTTTGAAGCGAATACGATAAATTTGATATTACAAGGTAAAAAATATGTTCATTTCCCCTCCTATATGTATCGTTAAACTCATCTTCGATAAATCCTGGCGTGTCAAAAATACCCCTACGATGCAATTGAACTGTCGTCTCCAACGTGAAACGATTTTAACTGGAATAAGCTAACGAAACGAATTATCGAAAACGATACATTGGCATTTCTTGGTAATGAGTGAAAATACCTACTTATTGCAAAGGTCGTTGAAAGAGAAAGTTCACAATAAACGTCTCCGAAGTTAAATACCTCGCAAGCAATTCTTTCGTTCGTTCCCTGAAGTTTGTCTTTTGAGTTATGCAATAACGAGTTTACATTAACACCTCAATTTTCGCGGTGGTCGACTCGATAGCTGTTATTTGAATACCCACACCCAAGGATACCGCCCACTAATATAAAGCTAGAACAAATTTGTACAGCATAATAAACAGTACCACATGGAAGAACTGATCAATAGCATTCATTTGAATGGTCGCACACTGGGTTTTCATCCACAGACGTAAAAGTTAGCACCACATTGCACAACGTAATGAACAGTACCAAAGGTGAGTGCTGCTCAATAGCTTTCATTTGAATCGTTACACGCTATAGGTTTGAGTGCTGGAGTGTGCAGATTCAGTCATGAAGAGTTAAATCGATATCTCAACATATAACTAACAAGCCGAACACAGGTCAACGCCAGATCAGCTGAGAATCAATTTAGATCTTCAGCAGGATCACTGTTTTCGTCCTTTGGCTTTTGCAGAAGAGCTTTGGGGGCTTTTACCAGGGACAACTTTATCAGGCACAAAGGTCACTTGTGGTGAGGACCTCGCAGAGGTTCTTGTGGGTGCTTTGCGGCGTTTACGGGGGGGAGATCCTTCATCGACGTCCGAGTCTTCTTTAGAGCCACCTAAACAGAAAGAAAAGAACAAAATGGTCACAGCAGCACCGCAACGAAAAAAAAAGTGTCGATGCAGTTGCCAACATTATCCTGACATGTAGCAATCCTACAACACAGTTTGTAGACGCAAATTGAAGTGCTGCTCTTCTTTTGTACTTGACGATCCTGAACAAGAGTTTGGCTCTGGCCTGTGTTATCACTTTCATTTGCAACTTGACATGCAATGTAAAACCTTATTTTTCATTTATATGGCTAGCCCCACAAGCGGGTATGAGAACACAAATCCTGCACTGTGATTGGCTATCCGAGCAGGCAAGATGGGGTTATCTTTCCCGCTCGGGATTGCCTGCTGTATCACGCAACTGAAATAGTGGTGCGCGTACGCCATAAGGTAAATACTTTATTGACCAAGATGGCTGGATATTAGACTCGATCTTCTTACCAAGGCCAGTATCTTAACCTCAGGGTTGTACCAGGCTTGTCATATGTAGCTGTCACAGGGCAGTTAATAACACAGTACATGCACAAAGCCTTGGGAATTGGCTTTCTTACTAATACGTTATTATTGTAAATTGTTACAGATAAGTTACAAAGATACCTGACTTACTGGGAGATGAAGTTTTCCTTAAGCCATATTCGTAGTCGGGGACATCTGGTGTTGACCTCCCTGATGGTGGCTTTGAAGACGCTGGTGTTCTCCTTGGTGACTGTCTCCTGGACTGAGCGTAGCTATGTTCATCCTGGAGAGATGATCTTCCCGGTATACTGCTTGCCATCTGGATGTCATTACGTCCCTCTGAGGAACCACCCACGGTACTTGTATCACCTCCAGTGTCCAAGAGCGATGAATCTCCTGCAGTGCTATTGTCAGATTCAACAGGCAAGTCCTCGAAACTTCTGATTATTTCTGAAACATCAAGGGGTGGCATTTCATTTGCTTTGTCACCTGAGCCATCCTCTTCAATGTCTTTCAGCAAACTGTCTAAAGTAAAATCACTCGGCAGCATGGATGATCCTAACAGATCAAGCTCAGTGTTACTGGAGGTGGATTGGTTACCGACGAGATCACCACCAGAGGCTGCAGCAGATGTCGACGCTTCAGAAGCAGCTGGGGCAGAGTCGCCATCTTCAATACTTTCTTTATTGCTGGCGGATTCTTTGTCGGTGGATGACTCTTTGAGAGAATCACTTGCTCCGTCAGAACTGGGCACCTCACCAGATTCTTTTGACCCTGCAGCACCCTGCGAGTCAGCGTTATCTCCAGCAGTCAGTCCAGTTCCAGATCCTGACTGTTTACTGGAAGCAGAGCTATCTTTAGCGGACAAGTTAAGAGCTGAGGTATTATTGACGACTGAAGCTAAACTCCTTGCACTGCGGTCCACTGACGCGCTGGAGCCCGATCCTGTAGTTGGTTTGCTGCGGTTGCTTTTGCCTTTTGTTGCAGCTGTGTTAGCTTTGCCTTCTTGTGTACTCATTATGGGTCCCTTTACTGATTGGACTGCTGAAGTAGGCTCACCTGACTGGCCAGCGGGGCCTTGAATGAACAAACAAATGAACAACTTAACATCTAAAATCTCGTGTAACTGTGGGTCATATGATTACCTCCTTTTAGTCACAGCTGGAGGAAAACGGGGGGGGGGGGTACTCCTTTGGTACACCTTTTATTGAAGGTACCCCCTTCACGTACCTTGTACTAAAGAACGCTGCATCTCTTTTCTAAACCCCTGTAATGAAGTTAAAGAACAATATTGTGGGGGAATATCAAGCATTATTAAAGACGTGATCATTGGATAATGCAATTCGAAAGTTTTCATTGGCCTAGACATCATGGGTTATGAGCCATTATACCATGTTCTATTCCACTCATGCTTGTTGGACGTCGTGGAATAATTGTTAACTACCAGATACAGACATGAAGTGGACTTGTGTAGAACTGCACGTACATAAATTATCAAGCTAGAACCTTTAAGGTCAGCACACACGAGGTGACAAATCCCCAAAACTAGTCCATGCAACAAGTTTATAAAAGAGTCTACATGAGGGGAATGGTTGCAGAGACTACACCCTTTTATCCCCCCCNAGCGGTCCATCTTAGCGGTCCGTGTTGCAAAATTTGAACCGCTGAGGGAACCAATCAGAATTCTCCTTTTCACCCCGGAAGGGTTCAGCCATTTAATAAAAAAACTCATCTTTCACGTTGCCCCCCCCCCCCCCCTGAGGGGAGAGCTACTCTACAAAGTTCTGTACAAGGAGGCTCTGTTCCTAGGTCCCCCTTCCCTATTTTGACAGAAAAGGTACCCCTTAGAGTTTGGTATGGTTGGTGCCTTGTCCCCTGGTGTGTGCTGACCTTCAGGCTTCTAGCTTGATTATGTACATGCAGTTCTACACATCTCCACTTCGTGGTATACCTTTAATTGAAAACAAGGTACCCATTTCACATACTCATATAACTAGCTCATATTATGAATAAATTGCCAAATAAGGAAGTCTTCTTGTCATTTTAATGTAGTGCCTAATAAATTAAATGATACAGCCATAAGGTGCATCTGTTCAAAATATTTTTTTTACAGGCCCTTCAAAATAACTAAATGACAGATTTCCCTACCTTTTCAAATACCTCAATTTGTGGAATCCCTACCCTATTATAAATCTTAAGCCTGAAAAAGGTACCCCGCTCCCCACATAGGCCATTATAGGGAGTAGCCCCCCCCCCCCCCCCCCCCCCNTATCCACAATAGAGGTTTATTAACTTTATAACAAAACAAATAATGGAGTTCAGTTTACGTATGAACAGTCAAGGACTTGTTTTTCTTTAAAAAAAAATTAGCCTGCAAATTACACAGAAGTATTTCCAGCTGTCAAATACGTCTGCACCTGCAGGCTAAAAACATGCCAGCAATAACACAAACCTCAGTGTTAAAAGTTCCCATTACTGATACTCAAGATAATTCAATGAACAATTTATTGCATAGTTATTATTAACCCGAGAGTGAGGTTTTAACAGAAAAATCTCAAACGGAAACCTTGCGACCAAGTGATAGTGAGGTCAATACGGCAGGGCTGAGGTTTAAGATCTCCCCATCCAGATCGAACATTTGAGATTAATAAGCAGTTTATTATATAGCTTTTTTGGGGGTTTTACAGGTCCGTAATTGGCCCATGGGCATTACGTGAGAATAATGCCCTAGTCTTAGCCAATCAGAGCAGGCATCATATCAGCTACAAACACAAGTAACATAATAGAGAGTAACACTTATTATTTTGTTGGCTAGACTATTAAACCCAGTCTGTAGAATCATTTCTGCCAACACGTTCATCTGGCTCTGTATGAACAGCTACTGAAAGTCTCTCTGGTTCACTCTCCTCCATGGCTTTGCTGACAGAGGACTGTCTGGGACACACCCTTTGGGGTAAGTTAACATCTACCCCTTCGACTTTGCCATTTTCTTCATAACACTCCACCACCACATTCTGGTTCAGTGCTGCCCATCTCTTTGAATACTGTTTAAAATGTTTCAAACTGTCAAAGTACAAACCACCAACAGCCAAAGCGATGAACAAACCATTGACCATGTAAGCAAACTTCACTTCCTCAGTGGTTCGCTCAGCGATTGCTGATGGAGTCCTACTGACACGTGACCAGATAATCCACGTCACGGAAGTGAGTAGCATTGTTGCAAAAGCAATGAAAAGCCCAATGTGTAGCCACCCTTTGGTGCTTACTTCAGGAAAACTCCACTGCAAAAATCAGTAGTTTGGAAAGAACAGCAGGTGAGGGAATTGTCATACTATTATGAACTATTATGAACAGAAGCTTATGAATAGCAGTTAATATATAATATTTACTATTCTAGATGGTTGATTCTGACTTGTACATCTGTTAATGACACTCAAAAGGACATATTCTGAGAAGTGAACAGCTTTCTGAGAGAAAATACTCAAGGAAAACTGCTAGCTTCAAGGAACACTGAATGATAATGTCCCAGGACAAATATCTGGGCATATTTGTTACGTCAAATGGGGGCTATTGTGTTTATTATCCTTCAAATATTTTTTGCAACACTCACATATTCCACACTTTTAGCCGGAGAACATTTACTTATGTGACACTTTTAGACTAGTCACATGTGAGCAAAAGCATTTGATGGATTATAATGAATCAGAACAAACCTTCCAGAAGCACTTCACACTATGCTTCTTTGTCCTAAATTTGAACTTGCACAGCTCACAGCTTTCATGTCCAGATTTTGAAACCCAGTTCAATATACAACTCTGATGGGCATACTTAACAGTTCCAGTGCATTTGCAAGGTCTTATGAGCTCCTCATCTTCATCACCACTGTGACAAATGCGACACATCAGGCCACAACTTTCTCGCAATTCAGTAAGCTTGCTGAGTGACGAACAAATGCTTTGATCTTTTGAACTGTTCCTGCTGGGCTGCTTAACCTTTAAAATAGCACTCCTTAGAATGGATGCTGAACTACTCCTGATCGTGGTCAAGTTATTACATGAGTCACGTAATAAATGAGATGTATTCTCGCTCTTTGAACCAACAGAATTCAATACCAATAAACTTTGTGACTTTTTTCTCTTTTTAGACTTGTGACTGTTACTGACATTCTCTTTTATGACAGGCCCCTGTTGCGTGCAAAAGAAGCAGTATCCTGCAGATGATGAACTTGCACCACTCTCTATAACTAACATACCAGGACCTTGACATTCAGTGACAGAAGTTTTCTCCGGAACGTCCTTAGAACATTTGAAATCTTCTGCTTCCAGTTTTTCTGAATCTGATTCTGTTGACAGTAAAAGCGGTTCACTGGCCATACCAAGTTTGTTACTAATATTGCAATGGCTGCGTCTTGTTGAACAGGAACTAATAACACTGTTCTGGCTCAAACAGGGCAAACTTGTAGCAGATAGCTGGAAAATAAAGGACATAATACAATAAAATTACTTTAAGGTGATAAAACAAAGACAAGGAAAGTTATTAAATACTGACGATACTATTTCAACGTTTGTTATTTTATAAGCATCCTCGGAGACCAAGAGCAAAAACTTGGATTACAAAACCAGAAGTTAAAATAAAATGGGATTTTCTTGACATTCTATACAGCCCCAATTAGGGTTAAAGGATTTCATTAACAGCGTGGCAACTGGTTTTCACAGGTGGGAAAAATGTTTTGAACTGAACATCTTTATACAAAAACTTTCTTCTAGATGGTTAAACCAAGCAGACAAAATTATCCTCATAGCCAGTCAATTTGCCCAGTGCCCAGCCCTTAATAAACACCCTTAGGGCTGGCATGGGTCTGGGTGTGGACTAAATTCCTATTCATTGAAAAAAAAATTAA